CTTCCTCCGGTCTGATACCGGGCATGCGCCTGCCTTCCTCCGGTCTGATACCGGGCATGCGCCTTTCTTCCTCCGGTCTGATACCGGGCATGCGCCTGCCTTCCTCCGGTCTGATACCGGGCATGCGCCTTTCTTCCTCCGGTCTGATACCGGGCATGCGCCTGCCTTCCTCCGGTCTGATACCGGGCATGCGCCTTTCTTCCTCCGGTCTGATACCGGGCATGCTGCAGCTGCTGTCGTCCCCCCCCCCCCCAAGTCTTTGATTTCTTTTTCCTTTTCATCCAAATCGCCACCTTGCCAATGCATGTCTTTCTCCACCTGTCTCCCAGGCAGGTCTAAGTGGCCTGCTGGGTCGTTCCCCTTGCCTTTTGATCTGTTCCTACTTGGTAAACTCCTCGGTTGGGGTAGAACATTCTCCATCAGTTCTATGGTGTTTGTATTGTGATTTCTAGCTCCAGATACTGGTCTCTGGATGTTTCTCAGGAGTATCACTTGCCCTCCTGGCTACGTAGAGAAGCTCCTAAGGCAGGAACAAGGCTGTTGTTTCACTAACAACATTCCCACTGGACTCCACGCCGTTTGCCAGGTCAGCAGCTCTCTGAGGATTTCAGAGGGCTCCTTTAGGAAGATGTCCTGAAGGAATGCTAAATGACTCAACTGAATGAAGATACGAGTTTCGGGGGTAGATAGTCTTCCTTCTCGACTCCCCCTCTTGCTTTCACAAACTGATAGAAACACTTTTTGCTGTTGCCATATTGTTTGCTCTTGGGCTCTTTCCTCTCTCCCTGGGGTCTGAACGGGGACACAGAGGGCAGAGCATGTACCTTGAAGACAGGGTGCAGCCCCGGGAGGCGCCTCATGGTGGCCACAGCAATGACCTCGGCCACCAGGTGAGTGTTCAGCAGATGATACTGGAGCTGGTGCAGTTGGAAGTCGGCATTTCGGACCCAGGCCTTTGCCAGGAGCCAGGCGAGTGGGGGATCTGAGGGCAGGAACAGCGGGGGGGTGGGGGTGCTGGGGCTGGGAGGCTGGATCTGCAAACATGAAATCAAGCCATTACTGAACTTCTGCTTTACGTGTGACCTTCTGCTTAGCACTCGGGGGGCGCAGGGGGCAGCGGATGGGTGAGGAAGATTGTTGCTCCCCGGGAGGTTACAGTCCAGGAGGAGAACTGAGGCCTTCTTCCACCCTGCCGCTCGCCAGCGCCCTGATGGAGGGGCCGAAGGCGGGAGAGTCAAAGCAGGGACTCCAGGGAGGAGGTGCTGCAGGTGGCTGGGAGAGACACGACAGGGCCCAAGCAAGGGTGGGCAGCGGGCAAGGGAAGCTGGGTGGTGAGGCAGGGTGCGGTACTTGTAACCGCTGAGAGCCGTGGGCGAAAAGGTATTCATCAGATGGTGCGTGTTTGGAGTCCGAGGCTCCAGGGGGGTTAGAGTGTTTCTCCAAATGTGTTCCCAAGCCAGCAGCAGCATCGCTTTGGGGCTTGCTAGAAATGCACACGCTCAGTCCCCACCCCAGACCTACTGAATCAGAAAGTCTGGCGGTGGGACCCAGCCACATATGCTAACGAGCCCTTCGGTGATTGCGAAGCCCTCTAAAGTTTGAGAACCAGCGGGTACAGTGTGAGACTCCAAAAGGCCATTATGACTCTTGAGCAGAACAAGAACTTCCAGTTGGGTGAGTCAGGGGAAAGCAGACTGCAAGCAAACAGAGTGACAGGAGACAGGTCTCACTGTATGATGATGGAGTTTGGGAGCCAAGAAGCTGGGGGCTGGATCCCCGGGAGCAGAGGTTGGGGCGCACAGAGCGGTGTGGGGCGGGGGGGTGCCCAGGGCGCCTCACCTGGATGACCACGGGCAGCAGCTTCCCATTGGGTGCCATCCTCAGCAGGACGAGGGGGGCGGCCAGGTACTGCTTCTCACCTCGGATCACGTTGGCGGGAATTCCATCCAGCAGGATGAAGTCGGCCTCAAACAGGGAACCGTTCTGGGGAGAGGAGAGATGCGCCCGTGGTTAGAGTTGAAAGCGCGCCTCCAGGGCCAGGGCAGAGGGGACACGTTTGTCCTCATCCCGTGTGTCGGTACCAGTGTCCTCTTGGCGGGACTGGAGCATTTGGTCCAGTGCCTCTGATTCTACAGACGTGAGCAAACCGCCCAGCGTGTGCGGGAGCCGGTCTGGGTTCAGAACCGGGCCTGTGTAGAGTCCCGTCTGTGGTGTAGGTCCCGGAAGCTGTCCTCGCCATCACCCCTCCGTGGTCTGCTCCCTGTGTCCGCCCCCCTCCCCCCCCGCCCCAGCAAACTGAACTCTTTCACTGCCTGTCCAAACCTCTCCTGTCCTGCCGAGTGACCCCCACAGGGCCCCCCACTGCCGCTGCCACCAAGTCCAGCACACACCTGCGTATGCTCACACCTGGCTTCTCTCTCCCGAACCTAGGAGACCTCCCCGCTCTCCACCCCCGACGGTGCCTCCTTCACCTTTCGCCCTGCCCAGGATGCTGGAGTATGACAGCAGTCAGCAAATGTCTGTCCCTGCTGATGTCGCCGGCCCCACCTGGGCGCTGGGAACTCCTCCCGTTGCCCTCCATCCTGGGAGCTCCTCATAGTTTCCCCTACGCGCTTTGTCATCCGTAGGTTTTTCCAGCATGGGACTCTGCAGCCAGGCATGGTGGGTGGCCACAGCCTCCCTTCCCCTGACTCATCTTTGGTCCCTCCCCACACAGCCAAGGGGAACCACGCAGGGTGGGAGGAAGTACCTGGAGCTCTCTATCCAGCTGGGCCCCCAGTGCCTCCAGCCCGGGGGGCAGCACGAGCCGGGAGGGCAGAGAGGTGGAGCGTCTCAACAGCATGGGGTTGGCGCCGTTGAGGAACTGGTGGCCAAAAAGCTCGTCGTCCCGCCAGCGCTGGTGGACCTTCTCTGTGGGGTCAGGTGGGATGTAGGAGTGGGTATTTACCACCACCCGGAGGTCCCTCTCCTCCAGGCCCTCCCCCAGCGGTTCTGGCACACAAGCGCCCTGTCTCCAGACCCTGGCTTTTCATTCTGGAGGCCGCTGTGAGATGATCAGGCCTCCTAAGGCCTCCGCTGGGAAGGAGTCGTGAGGGACTCTGGGGTGTGAAGGTCGGGTTGTCAAGAGGGGCCCTCAGGAATATATGGGGACCTGGGGGAACCACTGACCAGCCAGGGCGCTCTTCTGGCCCCAGAAGATCTGATCAAAATCCTCCAGGCGGTCCCAGGAGCTCAGGAGGGTGTAAACACGTTTGAGGACCATCTCTAGCGCCCTAGGACAAGTGTGGAGACGTGAGCCAGTCGCCGGCCCCTCCGCGCCTCGCTCGTCGCCACTGTTCTTGGACCTCCCGGCCCTCATGCACTCTGAGCCCCGGGCTTTTCCTCACCCCGCCTTCAGTGCCCACTCGAAGTCCAGCCTCTTGTCCTCGTGGAATCTCATGTTTGGAGGCAGATCGTCCTGACACCCGGCAGCTATGGTCAGGGGTAACCCCTCCTTCCAGGTGTCCCAGCTAGGAGATGGGGACCAGGCTTCAGGGAGGGTGTGGAGGTCAGCGAGGGGGCTGGGGCCAGGGAAGGGGGGGACTCCTGGGGGGCTTGCGGGCCAGTGCTCACCAGTACAGCTTTTGTCTTTCCTTCAGTTCTTTCTCTCGATGCTTCTGGAACACGTCCAGGGCATTGTCTCCTGCCAGGCGTGCTTGGGGGGACATTGAGATGCTTGGCCGCACAGTTCTGTGTGGTCCAGTGCTCCCCCCGCATGTCCTCTTCTCCCGCTCGGAGCCTGAGCGCTCCGTCCTGCTCTGTTGCTCTCTCGCTGCGCCTCCCTCCATCGATCGCCCAGACACACGCATCCCACCTTTGCCAACTTGGCATTCCCGGTTTCACTCATCTCAGCTCTCATCCCTTGCCTTGAGACAAAAACCCCGTTTGTCACCCTTTCTTGTTCCCTAATTGTCTTTCCCTACCTGATCCGATTCCATCAATAGCTGTGGTTGGATTGATCACCTCCATTAAGCCGATAAAATCTTAGTCACGCATGTGACCGCACCTGTTTCTACCACATGTTGCTTCGCTTAAGTTCACGTCTTGAACCTCACCTGTTACACCTTCCACTGTTCTCAGGAGCTGCTGAGGAGCAGCGGTGTTTGCCGTCCCTCCCTGAGCTCACCTCCCTTAGACTTCCCATCATGGTCCGGCCTCGTTGATGTGTCCCTGCTCTCCTCTGTGCCCGTACTTGCCTGTGGCAAAGTCCTGTCTTCCACGTTTCCATCCTTACTGTCCTTGCCCTCGTTTGTCTCTGGATTCATGTTTTCCCAGGGTAACAAATCCTGTATTGTCTGCCCTCCTCCGTCCCCGCACCCGCTGTCGGGGTGCTCCGTGGCCCTCACAGTCGTCTTTCATGCTTTCCCAACCAGACCGGCTCTCGGGCTCAGGGCTCATACCGTTTATCCTCCTCTGCTGCCACCTGCTCAGGGGTCCCCATGTCCTGCTGCACGTGCTGCCCTTAGAGTCCCTGCCCTCACTTGTGCGGCCACCCACAGATCTCCTTTCCAGTCTCTTTGATCTCCCATTTTCCATCATGGCTGTGACCCCCTTGCCCGTCCCCTGCTTGAAAGAGGGCGGCTGCAGATCCCGTGCTTCCCTCCCAGGCTCCCTGGAGCCCTTCATCCTGGGCGTAACTTCGGGACCGTAGAACGTGGCCCTGATCCCTGTCTTGTCCTCATCTGCCCAACACCCACTTTCCCCAGCTCGGGCCCCCACTCCACACGCGGTTGCCCGGTCGCCGCCCGCGCGTCCCCCGCCCGCCACCTCCCCAGCCCTCACCGGTGCCCTCGGGCAGGCTCAGCACGCCCTGGCCCTGTACCCAGCGGTAGCAGGGGAAGGCGGCCTCCTCGCAGGCACCCGGGCCCCGCACCGTGATGAGGTCGCAGAACCACGCGTCGTCCACCAGGGAGTGGTGTTTGCGCAGCTTCACGAACTGCAGGGGCCCCAAGTCCTTGGGAACGTCGCGATCAAACTCCTCCTCCTGTGGGGACCACAACCCGCGACACTTAGCAGCAGGGACCCAGGAGAGGCCGTTTTAGTTCGAGTCGGGGGCGCCTTTGCGGAGCCTCCGCTGCCCAAGGCCTCCAGAGACACCTGTTCCTTGCTCTGGACACCTGAGCCGCGGGGCCTGGGGAGGACGAGGGAGCGCGGGGCACGACGTCACCGACCTCGGTCCGTCCCTGAGCTGTCCCTGCGCCCGCAGCCTCTGAGCAGCCCCTGGCCGGACCGCTGACCCCGCACTGACACTGGCCCTGGGGTCACTTAGGGAAGCGGTGGAGGTTGCGAGGACCAGGTCGGAAGGGAGGAGGGGCTGGGGCCCAGCCCGGGGCCCTGGCTCCGGAGCCTCTCCCCGCCCCCGCAAATCTCCGGCGGCGCGGTCGCGCTGTGTCCCTCGTACCCCGGCCGCCCGCGACCCCGCCGCGAGCCCAGGCCGGACCGAGGTCGGGGGTCCCCGATCGGGGCCTCTGACCTGGCCCCGCGCCGGCCGCAGCTGCAGCTGCAGCTCCGCCTCCCCGCAAGCCCCGACCAGCCACAGCTGCACGCGGTTGTGTGACCCCGAGAAGAGCCAGGCCCCGGTGGCCACACGGATGCGGTAGCGGCCCATGGCTCCCCGGCAGCTCGGGCGCGGGAACCGGGTCCTGCGTGCTGGTGGGGATCGCCCGGGGCCGCCGGCAGCTGTCGAGGCGCCTTCGGGTAGTTGCGGGCCTTTAAAGATGGTCTGCGTCCCCGCCCTCTTCAAGACTCTCGGGCGCTCCCCAGTCCCCGCCCCAGACTAGCCCGAACCTGCGGTGGTGGGGCAGGCTGTGGGGCAGGGCCTTGCCCCGGGTGGGGCGTAGCTGCGGGAAGATAAAGGGGTCCGTGCCTGGGCGGGGCCGAGAGGGTGGAGGCACCCGGGCTTCTCTGGACGCCCCCCGCCTGGGCTTTGGGGGGCGGGGGTCGTGGGCCCGGGTGCGTCGGGGTTGGAGGGAGCAAGGGTGAGGATCCAGGCCTTTGGGAAAGCAGGAGGAAGAGAGGGTGAGTGGGTCTTCCAAAGGAGGAGGAAGTCGCCCCTTCTCTGGGCCGGCACCTGGCGAGGCTGGCCTGGGAGGCAGTGCTGGGCTCCCGTAGACCCACCTGCATTCCCCGCCCCGCGCCCCGTAGGCTTCTGGTTCCTGATTTCTACGGCACTGGAGCCCAGTCCTGCAGGAAATGACCAGGGGTTCCATAGAGCCTGGAAAAGTAGCAGCTCAAAGGGCTGCTCCACTCTGTCTGCAGCCCAATTTCACACATCCTGGCTTTGGGACCCTAGATACACCGGAAACAGAGAGGCCTAACAGGCAGGGCAGCGAAAGCTCCTTTTGTCTGACGTTCAGTGGGTGCAGAAAATGTTAGGGGCTCAGGTGTTAGGGCGCCGTATGGAATCAGGTAGGAACCCAGCACACAAGGGTGCTTCCCCTGACCTTTGTCCTTGCCGGGTGAGCGCAGCCCCTTACCCTGCAGTCCGCTCCAGATTGTCCTCGTCTGACCCTGATGCGTTCTTCCCCATCAGAATAGTTTTCTCCTAAAAAATTGTATGTAAGCAGCTTTTATTAGGCCTTAAGTTCCACTTGTTTCATCAGCCCTGTTGTCCTTATCTCCCCCCAGCTATTTCCTGCATGGCTCTAAGGGCAGGAAACTAGGGCCCAGTGCTGGTTAGGGACTTTGTAAGCACTAGGAGGATGATTCAGGACGCAGGCTTTGTCACCCACCCCCCAGGAATCTGAGGAAGCCTCCTGCAGGTCCCTGTCTAGATCCTGCTCCAGGTCACTGTAAACATTTGGTTCCCAGGGTATGTCTGGTGGCCTGCCTGGGCCAGGGCAGGGCAAGGTAAATCTGCTTTCTTGAGCCCGACCCTCAAAATGATTTGGCCTGTTGGTTATTGGGGTTAAGAGGGCTTCTAGACCCACGGGACAGCCTTCCAACCTCACAGAAGTATCTGGTCCTTACTAGGGTGCCATTCCCTCTCTTATTTCTAGGCCCACTCCTCCCTACATCCTCTGTGCTCAGGACTGGGTGTCTCTGCCATTGGTCGACTCCCAGTTCCTCCAGTTTTGGGGGTCACCCAATGAAATGGCTCACATTCCCATCCTATGTAGTGGCTGGACCTGACCTTTCCCACAGAGACCCCAAAAGGTCACTTTTGCCTATAAGAGAGTTTGTTTAAGACCTACTCCCCAAATCAGTCCATCCTTCAGCCTGCTTCCCTGCTGTTTTGTGACACATTTTCTGTCCTGTCTAGTGCACTGCAGGGTCACATGGCAGAGGGGGGAATGAATAATCGAGAATAATCCCAGTTAGTGCATATGCTAAGTGAGTTAATATGTTTAAAATACTTAGAGGATGCCAGTATGTTTTATCTGCTGTTAGTCTATTATTTACAGATGGTAAACAATTTCCACTTGAATGTCTGCCTCCCTCCTAGAAATTCCTCTCCCTTCCCCCACCACACACAGTTTCTCCAGCTCCCTCCAAAGACCCCAAACTCCCACTAGGGGGTCTTACTCCTCTAGAACCTTCCTCCCACTTCTTTTCTCTTTCCTTGTTAAGCACTTGTGTTATGTTGGGGGAATATAATTAAAAACAAAAATTCCCAGCCCTGAAAAACCTCTCCACAAAAGGTAGCAGAGAAAGAAACAGTTTTCTTTTTGAAGAAGCATTTAACCAGAATGTGATGTGCCTCCCAGGCAACCCGCTAAGAGACCGCAAAGATAGAAAGAAAGCTTCCCCATCCGTATAGCCACACAGGTGCAGTCCATCACACACACACTCTCAAGGTAAACGGTAACCAGCCCTCAAGTAAGAGGCTTGATGGCACATTTTGCCACACACCGTTCATCCTAACTTTACCTCGTAATTGATGACCGTCTGTGTTATTACTAGGCGTAATCATAAGAAACACAAAGTTCTTGTATCTTTACAACGGGAGGCGGTTTTGCAACTTGGAGCACGGAGCCCACCCAGGTTAGGCTTCTAGCCTCCCACAGAAGCCAGGAGAGAGGGGTGCTATCTCCTTTGATGTTGACATTTCAAAGAGGTGGATCCCAGGCCCTTGGGAAAGACATTCCTGGATCATAAAGCTGACTAGAGGCTTGTTTAGCTTCTAAAAAGATTTACACACATTTCAAAGGGACAGAGAAAGAAGGTAAAATGACATGTTTTCTAACGTAAATGCCCTCAGACAAGGGCACAGAGGAGCAGTCTCTTATTTTCAATAGGGAGAATTAAACCTCTTAATTTTTTTTTCCCTTACGATGACCATTTTGTTCTGTGTGCTGCAGGAAGGGCCAAGGGCTGGATTTTGCCTGGCCCTCTTCAGTAGGGAAGTCCTCGTCTGCCCCATGAGCACCCCGAGGCTGAGCTCACCCCCTCTTCCAGACTCCCAGACCCTGACCTCTGTGCCAGCAGCCAGCCAGCTCCCACAGTCCCATGACCTCTCCGGGCAGGGCGGCTGAACTTCTTGATCAAAGCTTCCCTCGTTAGGTTATCCCTGGGGCCTGGGGGTGACGGGGGTGGCCCTGACATTTTATAGCCAGAAAGGCTTGTGAAAGTGTTTTTCTGAACCTAAGAATAATTTCATCCCCTTCCTTTCTTGTGTGCCAGCATGGGTTCAAACTGCAGTCAGTTGAGAGGGTAAAACCACTGCGCCTGCCACAGGAGTGTGTGGGGCCCCTGTTCAGCACGGGGCTGCAGACATTTCTCTTTGTTCCCCGAGGACAAATCGGACGTGCAAACATGGCATTATAAACTATGTAACGTTAGGCTGCGGAAATACAGGACCTGATTGCAGGGGAGAAATGATATCATCTGTTTTTGCAATCAGTCACTTGAGGACTCGCTCGCCCGTCCTTGCAAGAAGTCCAGCCCTTCTGTCTGAGTGTCGCAGCTTTTGTCCTTGTTTGGGGGTGTAGCTGCAGGAACTCTGTCTTGCAAGGTCTAACGGGTGGGCTTCCAGGGCTGCGGGGATCCCCGCATAGGCCACCAATAGAGACAGACGCTTGGGCTTTCCAGACTCTTAGTTCACACAGGCTCGGGTACAGTCCCCAAGAGTGACTCTGGTGCAAGGCGGGCTGAGCCAGGGCCATGTCCAGCTTTAGCCTCTTAAACCGTCAGGCCTTGGCATTGAGCCTGGTCGTTTGAGCGGCCACTTTCCTCACAGAGGACTTGATTAATGTTGAGCAATGTAAAAAAGAATTAGAATCTCAGTCTCTTTCCTTCCAGGTAGTGCCTTGGGCCCTTTAGGCAAATTTACCCCCTCCTCCTCATCCACCTGTTCTGCAGACCAAGGGAGTATTGGGCTGGCGTGGGAGATGGGGAGTGTGTGGCAGGGAAGGAGGGGCCTTTGTGGGACCTCAGAAAGGTGCCGGAGAGGGGGACGCTCAAGGCTCAGAGAAGAGTCAAAGATAGGTTTGCTCTCAGGGAGCTGTGTCCATTCAGAGAGAAAAAAAAAGCTGGCAGATTCTTATCCTTTAGCTGCCTTCCTTCCCACCACTTCTGCTACCCCAGTCCTAGCAGGTACACCCACGGTAAGCCCAAAGGGTCTGCTCAAGTTTCTGTGCATTCAGAGAATCCTCTTCACTCATGAATACACTTCTAGGAGTGGTTGGTTTTGGTTGTTTAAAAAAATCTTTGCTGTACTGTATACGTTTTCCTGCCGCTTGCTTTTCTCACTTAAGAGATGTTGCTCATGGACACCTCGAGTTCAGTAGCGATTCATCTGACGTATTCTTTTTTTTTTTAAGATTTTATTTATTTATTTATTTATTTGAGAGCGTGAGAATGAGAGAGAGAGAGAGAGAGAGAGAGAGCACATGAGAGGGGGGAGGGTCAGAGGGAGAAGCAGACTCCCCGCTGAGCAGGAAGCCCGATGCGGGACTCGATCCCGGGACTCCAGGATCATGACCTGAGCCGAAGGCAGTCGCTCAACCAACTGAGCCACCCAGGCGCCCCAATCTGACGTATTCTTTTAAACAGTTGTGTGGTACTCCATGTTCATATGATGAATGCTACGAAGGGCAAGTTAATACTTACATTCTTTTTTTTTTTTTTAAAGATTTTATTTATCC